CCCTGCTGTATCATCTTTCAACTCACTCCCACCTGCACAAGCCTCAGTCCCTTAGCAACAGCAGTGATGTCTTTAATCTGGTGATTGGAGAGGGGGAGGGGCAAGATGAACTGTAGAGATAAGGAAGGTGTTTGGAAAAATATGCACAGATCCTGGAGAAATTTGGTTGCTCCACAAGTTTTGAGGACATGGATCTGGGTCAATTCTCCAGCCAGGAAAGATAGGACCTCAGCAATCATCTACTTAGATTCCAAGAGTTTTCTAGGAATAAAGTATGTGCCAAGGGAGACTCTTACTGTCAACAGAGTATCCCTAATGAGCTGGGTGCTTAGAGAAGATCAGGCAAAAAAGGAAACAGAAGGCCCTGCCCCATATCTGTGGGGTAAACCAGTATATTCTCAGGAAACAGAATGAATGGCCTATAAACAAAAAATTATATAATGAAGTTACTGGAACAACGATGTAATTAAAATGATAATATTAATTAGGACAATATTCAAGAAGGTTTCTTGGAGGAGGTAAATCTTGATAGAGTTTGCAAAGAAAGAAGGAATCCAATTAAATAAAGGTATATATGGCCAGGCCTTCCTGATCTGGGCCCTGTCTATCGTTCCAACCTCATTTTGTGCAATTCTCCCTGTCACTTGCTGTATTCCAGCCACATTGTTCAAGTCTCTTTCAGTTTCTTGAACACCAAGTTCTTTCCTGCCTCATTGCCTCTGCCATTGCCTCTGTTCCTTCTATCTCGTACTTATTCCATCTTTTAAACTTTGCCCTATATATGTATGATGTCCTCAGAGGTCTTCTCTGCCTCTCAGTGTTAATCTCTCATATCACCTTCTTGTTTTCTTAATCATCATGTGTTTATTTTTTGTTTAATGTCTGCTTCCCCGGTAGACTATATAAATTCCAAGAGAGTAGTCTGTTTTGTTTTCATTTGGACACTTAGCAGCCAGCCCAGTGTCTGGCACACGATAGATAATAAATATTTGTTGAATAATGTAGACTCAAAAGGCTTGGGAAGTGGGTGCGAAGGAGGAAAAGAAAATGTACTGGGCTGAGGATAGTGCTGAAGAATTTTATTTAGCATGAGAAGCAGAGGGAAGCCACTTGTGACATCTTCTCCCCACCCACCCACGGAAATATTTATATTGTTGGCTTTTTTCTGATTATAAAATATAAACTTATTCTAATAAGATTATATTGCAATATTGTATAAAAAGACTATCATACGTATTGGCGAGGATGTGGAACAACTAGAACTCTAGTGTTACTAGTAAGGATATACATTGGTTCAAACATTTTGGAAAACTATTTAGCAGTATCTACAAAAGTTAAACATGTAAATCAAACCTAGCAATTCCATTCCTCAGTATTTACCCAGGAAAAATAAGTGCATATATTCACCAAAAGACTTGTATAACAGGGTCCATAGAAGCTTTATTCATAAAAGACAAAAACAGGAACAGCCTAAATACTCATCAATAGTAGAATGAATAAATTGTAGTGTAATTATGCAATGGAATATATGAGCAATAAAAAAAACAAATAATGCTGCTAGATCCCACAATGTGGATGAATCTGAAAAAACATATGTTGAGTGACACAAAAGAGTACATACTGTTTGATTCCATTTATGTGAAGTTCAAAACCCAGCAAAACTAATCTATGGTGATAGAAATCAGAATAGTAGTAACTGGGAGTTTGTCAACTCTCGAGGAGTACAAGGGAGCCTTTTCGGGTATTGGAAATGCTTTGTAATCTTGTCATGGATGGTGATTACATATATATGTAAAAATTTATCAAGGTGTACATTTAAGATCTGTGAATTTTATGCCCCAATAAAAAATTAAATAAAAAATAATATTCAAGCAATGCAGAAATGTATAGAATAGAAATTAAAGGTTTCTTTTACCCAGAGAAAACCACAATTAACATTTTGATGTATGTCTCCCCGAATCCCTTTATCATGTCCACTTCTTTCTTCACACAATCCCTGATATCCATGTCATTTAAGGAATTTTATCTATCCATATGTAGCACAAACCAGTTACACAGCCTAAGTGTTTCTGCCTTCACATTAAGAGATTCAATAGCAATACTGTGCCCCTTCACATAACAAGCTGTAGGAAATACAAAAATGAGTTAAGTCACAACCAGTGCTGCTGAGGAATTTATAGTCTAAGGGGATGGACCACAGGGACTATCGACCAAACAAAACCCCCAAGAACTATAATACCATGACATGTATTAGAGTTTCACAGGGCCACTAAAATGGATTCCAACTATTATACAAGTAATGATACCTTACAGTTGTATAGAGCTGACAATTTTCAGTGTTTTCACATACAGACTTACCATTAACCTAAGAAGTTTCAACCTTGTGAAGTACTGATTATAGACATTACTCTCATTTTATAAGTAATACAGGAGTTAAATTACTTGCCTGGACTGCTGGTGGAAGAGTTGGGATTAAAATCTAAATATTCTGACTCCTAATCCATTGGTTGCTCATAAATCTGCCACCAGGGTTATGTCCTCACCCCCAGATGCAAACGGCCAGCTGATAGGACGTGAGCTCTGCTGACCAGGCAAATTATGATGATGCCAGGCTTCAAGAGGGAAGGTTCTGTGAGCAGAGCCCTGGATGTGAGCAAGCCGCATATACTTTTTCTGGAAAAGTATATAGTGATGATCTGGAGCCACCTGGTGCTGCTCCCCTCTCTTCTCTTCTCCTCCCCTGCAGCATTCTTCTACCCCTGGGCTTAAGGAACAGTCCGGGGAGGGTCCAGAGCTCCACTTCCATCCTTCTCACACTACCTTTCATTTATGCCTACCTCATCATAAGACCACCAAGATAGTGGATGGAGCAGCCTAGACTGACGGCAGGCTGTCTCAATGTTGGAATCCACTGTTTACCAAATTTACAGAGCCTGCAATTCTCCCCAATTCTCTCCTCATCTCTTCTCTTCCCCTTTGTTCTTCCAACTCCTTACTCTTCCTTTTGTCAGCTGTTTCTCCGATCTGCTTTCAGTCAGCCTCTTCTTATAACCTTCCTCATTCCCTGCCTTCTTGAGCCTCTAGATAAACCCAAACCTCCTCACGTGTCATCACCACCACCAAGCCAGACGTTTTTCCTCCATCCCAGAGAACTTTTGTCTATTTTTTACATTTCCTTGTCTGCTTGGACAAGACGGCAGCCAAGCTGTCTTTGGACAACACAGCCCACAAGCGCTACTGAGGTGGCGGCGGTGGGGGTGGGGGGTA